GAATGAGGCAGAGTATATAAAAATAGACACAAAATAAGAATACATGAAGTCTGTGGAGCATGTCTTTGTGAGTAATCCTATGAAATACCAAGACTTTCCACAGATGGCCATTTATTACATTAAGCCTTAATGAAAGTCACAGTCTACCAATCAGTGGAGTGCCCCTGATTTGCAGCTGATCACAAAGCTTATGTAAGAATAATAATGACACCTACTTTGGCCTATCTGGTGCTTGGGCAGACAGATTTCACAGGAGAGAAGGTGCAATTGTTTACAACATTTGTCCCTACTGAAAACTAGTTTCTTATTCAATGAGGGTGCTCCCAAGCCTTTGTGAGCAAGGTGTGTGCTTGTTAGAGGCAGAATTTGTACTAAGCAGCTCATGCTCTTTTAGCACTGGCTAAAGCAATGGCTGCCTGGAGTACAGGACACCAGTGAGAACATAAACCAGCCCATAGAGGAAAGCCATAACCACATGTGCAATCATGGGGAGTAGCTCTCAAAGCCACATGAGAATTTCAGGCACCAGTTGGAGCTCCGTGATTTTCCTAGGCACAGATACATCAAGATTCCTGGGTGACTCACAGTTGCCCCCTAAAGGCTTGCTTTCTCCGGCAGATTGGCATGGAAAGCACCAATGAGCTGCCTAAAATCATGCTTCATCCCAGACTTTTTTCATAGCTTTCTGGACATGCGAATAGGTGGAGGCCTGTGTGAAGCTGAGCTGGAAACAAATGCCCTTTGAGCACTAGAAAAGTCACTCCTTGAGGAGTTTAAGAGAAACAGGCAGCTTCTCCATGCTGACCATGCAGACTTTCCAGGAACTTTTTCACATGAAATTTCTTTTTCCTCAAGGCTTAGGTTAGGGAAGGCAGCCAGGAAGAGTCCATGGATGCTCAGGCAGGTGTGTAGGGTCTGTGTGTTCTAGGTCCAGATTTGCCCCCGTTCACTGGTCTGAGTCTTTCCTTTCTCTGTGCCTCTCTTTCTCTCATCTGTGAAATGGGGAGTATAACCAATGCATGGAAGGAAGGCTTGAAGACTTGAGGAGAAATGGTGAAAAATTCTACACTTCTCAAAACAGGTCCATATATAAAAATCATTCTCATTGCTTTAAATAAGTGATAGGGGAGATAGAAATAAAGTCCCATGGAAACAGAACTGCACATCAGATTCTGAATTCAGTTCACAAGGAAAACTCCTTCTTATGGGAATTGCTCCATAAACTGGAGAATACTTTTGAAATAAAATCATCCACTCTTTATTGATCTGTTATGTTAGTTGATAATTTGGCATTCTGCTTCTCCTTAAAGAGAGGCAGATGGGTAAGACCTGTAGAGGTTTGTGGAAACAAAGTGCGATGGGTCTGTGTGCTTTGGAGGCTAAGTGTGCTCAGAATCTGGCAGCAAATAGATCTCTTTCTAGCTGAGCCTTAGTTTTCATATCTGTTAAACAGGAATAATATCCACCAAATAAGGTTGTTGTGAGGCCTAAGGGAAATAATGTAAGAAAACACTTCAGACAGCGTCAGACCCATAGTAAATGCTCCACAAATGATGGCAATAAGTATTCTTGTTAGAGTAGGAAGGCCCCATCACCATTACTCTCTCTGTCTCATTTTCTTTCTCTCTCTCTCTCTCTCTCTCTCACACACACACACACACACACACACACACACACCCCACAGGGCCAGGACTAGGGAAAGGCAAGCTGAGAATCTAGGGTGCAAATCATTCCCAGGTCTGTGCAAATCCAAGAAGGAGTGCTTAATTAAATTTTGCAATCTAGACACGTGCCCTAGTCTTGACACACACACACACACACGTCAAATGAGAAAATGGAGAAATTTAAGGAAACTGGATCTCACAGTTTGCACATGGAAACACTGAAGGTTCCCAGTTAGAGCCTCCTCCTCCCTTCTCCCATGCTCCATTCTCCTGGGTCTGAGTGCGGAGATTCAAAGAGAGGGCAACAAAGCCGGATAATGTGAGCTTGTTCCTGCGATCACGCCAATAATTTGCAGAGGAGAGAGACGGTGTCTTCTTGGGCACCGAGAAAGCTTTACCCACCGAAATTCTTCCGCTACCTGTGAATGGACCTTACTTTAGAAACTGACCCCACTGCACTTTCGAGTAGGACTGGTGCCCATCAAAGGCGCACTTATAGGGCCTTCTGGCCAATCACACAAGAGTCCTTTTGATTGGTCTCACTGGTTGTTAAATAGTTTGATATTGACCTGTGCAGAAGAAGGTTTCCAGAGCCCATAGAGGAATGTGATGATTTGCCCTCAATAAGGACAAAAAGCCCAATTCCAGTTCAGCAGGTGAAGGTGTCCCTGCCTCTTTACAATGCCTCCTTAGATCATCTGCTCTTGATCTCAAACTCCACAGCCCTAGCTCCAGTGCTCCTCCACTTCTCATCCAGGAGAAGCTATCCATCCAGTTGCCCACCCTTTTGAAAAGCCTGCATTCTTGTGTGCATGGGTGCCACCCATTTTCTCTTCTGCCTTTACAGCTCTGCTTAGCATGGGGCCTGCAGGTCTCATCACTAGCTCCAGACTGAGCCCTGATCCAGGCAGAGGCATGTTAGGAACTCCAGCCCATGAGCTGATGGTATCAGGAATTAGCCTTACTGCTCTGAAGTCAACCAAATACAACCTTCTCTGATCAAAATCATGACTACCCGGTCCCTAGTTAGGTTTCTGCCCTTGCTTACTGAGAATACACCCATTACCAGGCTCCCTCCTCCCCACTGGGCAAGCCCAAGTCCCTAGGCCTTGACCTTGATTTCAGTCTTGGACTGTGCCAACTCCAAACCCGAGGTCTTGCTTTGGCTTCTGCCAAAAGCTGACCCTGAGCAAAGACCAGGGGAGGGTAGTTTGGTTTGGAAGATTATCCAAGGAAGCATAATGAGAGAGTAGGGAAATGAGGCAGGAAGGGAAGTCTAGAAAGCATGGGCTAATGAGCAGGTTACCACTGCAGGCACCTGGAATTCAATCTTGCCAGGAATCCTCAGAGAGACAGTGTAGAACATATCCCTTAAAACTGACCCACCAAGAGGGGAAGAGGCTGAGATATTCGTCCATCAGGGTTAAGGATTAATCTAGGAAGAGTTAATTCTCAGAACTCCTACTCTCTTCATGTGCTGGCAAGTTACTTCTGTGGCCAAGAAAGCCTTCAGGTGGAGAGAGGTGCAGGGGCTCAAGATAAGAAGGCATCAGGGCATAAACAGGGTATCGGGAACCATCAACTGAAGCTACAGTTGACCTCCAGGGTGGCAGAAGTGGTACAGCATCAGAGTTGGCAGCACCTGCTGTCATGAACAAACTTCCTGGAATGATAAAGTGTTTTTCTGGGCTTGGAAGAGCCCTTTCTACCCTGAGCCTTTATAATGTTAAGTTTTCCCCTCCAATGTCTCCTCTACCACCCTGGTCTTGATTTTTCTCATCAAGAGAGAAAGTGAGAAATGGAGAAAGGACGAAGTAAGAAAGTCAGACACAATAGTGGTCTACAGACTTCCCTCCCACATTCCACTTTCATGTCAGGCTTCTGTCTCAGGCTGGGCTCTCCAGAAGATACCCTGAGATGAAGAATTGTATGTGCTAGTCATTTAGTAAGGAAATACTCCCAGGGAGACTTATAAGGCAAAGTCCCTCTTGGGTGGCCTCTGTCTGATCCCATGGGGAGCTCTGGAGTGTAAGTTACATCTCATAGTTTTCCTGACCCAGAGACAAGAGAACTGGGCTCTCATCTTCCTGTACTGATGAATCATTGGCTCAGGGCCACTCCAGAGGGATGTAAATTCCCAGACCTTTCCAGCCTGCCACTAGTGTGGGCAAAGTGAGCTCTACTAGCCCAACCGCGAGTGCTGCCCATTGAAAATAAAAGTGCGCCTAAGCCATGGCAAGGGGATTTGATGGGCCCTGGACGGAACACCAACATTATCTGCTATTAATTGCAGATAAACTTTCATTTTAACAACAGGTTCTGCTGCTTAAAAAAAAGTTTGGATACTGCTGGATTAAATAATCTCAGGGGTTTTTGTTTAACTCTCAGCTGTGAAAGTCTCTAATTCTTCAACATAGAACTGCAGGTCACGTGGTTTTGGGGACCGGGTGCTAAATTATCCCATTAGGACTGAAAATAGTTCCTAAATCACACCCTAAGAATGCCTGAAGCAAAGGCCCAAACATAGCTGGTTGCAGCAATTTCCAGCTCAGAAAGATCTAGTCACAAAAATATAAGAATTACTGAATCTATCCATCAGAGATGACACACAGAAAAGTAGGCTTTGCAGCTGGTCCCCACCCCCACCCCCATCACTCTTTCTCCGGAGATTTTGACTAATAAAAGAAAGTGAGTAGGTGTTGGTTCCCTTGTTGCAAAATTTTATTCATTGGTGGTATATATTTTTATTGCATTTCCATTCAATAATTCCTCAGAATAGCTCTTAAGATATGCAAAAATGAGAAATGAAGATGAAATTATGAGATGTTAAAAGTATCTAGTCCTCTCTCACCTCTCTCACTGTGGGTAAAACTTGGAGGTTGGGGTAAATTTTCTGGATCCTTTAAAGGATAAAATGAGTATGTGGGGAAGTCCTCCAAACCATCAAAATATTTACCTTAAGTTTAAAAATATTTAGTGAGTTCACCATCTCATGCCTGTTTATTCCTAAGGTTATATCACATGATACAGTCATGTTTCCCCAGGAAAAAAAGAGGGACTTCAGAACCTATATTGGAAATATCGTATGTTTTTAGTTCTTTGGAAACATTTCATCACCGGCAAATAGAATGATTTAGAGGAGTTTGTTCATTTTGACTGCACATGAAAAAGTAAGCCTGTTCTTTCTTAATTGCCAATAGGAGATAATACATGAAACATATAATGGAATGTCAAAACAAATTAATTTCCTGCTCCGGCTTGTAAATACAGCACTTTGTGTAAGCAACAGCAAAAACTCATGAAAAGTGAGATCTTCGCGATACTAATTTCACTCACCTATTCAACAGGTCATCCATGTGCCAGCGTTGTCCTGAGTGCTGGGGACATAGCAGTGAACAAATCTCCAAGATGCCTTCAAACCTTGAAATACTCATCCCTTTATTTTCTGAATTTGGCATACATATTGGAAAAATGTTTCCATTTTTAAATCTCTGCCTGCTGCTCTGATAAATAATGTTTTCCCAGGTTCCCAAAAAGAGAATTAATTTGGCGAAACAAATCAGTTGTTGTTTCACACATTGTTATGGTAATAGAGAAATTAGGTTTTTAATTAAAGCTGAGGAAGGATGGAAGAGTAGTAGGCAAATAAGTGCCTCCATGGTTTGATGCAGACATGACAAGTCTCCTTTTTTGCCGTAGTGTCTAAAATTCTGTCCATTAGAGCATCCCGTAAGGCTTCATCCCAAAGTCTGTATAGTTTCTCCATCAAGCAGATAGAAGAAAACCTTCCCTACTCTTGCAAACTCGTTACTAGGTTTAAATAAGATACTGTTGAGGGAAATGACTTTGTGGAGCTTACAGAGCTTTCCTTATCACAAGACTATAGCTTTTTAGATGGTATTGGCCAGCCCTAAAGAGGCCTAAATAGATTTTGAGCATGGTCTGAGTATAAGGAGGCCATGGAATGCATGATCTCACAGTGAACTCCTTTACCTTGTTCTAGTTCCTGTGCCAAGTCCCCATACCCAGGGTTCAATTCACAGAATGAATGTGCTGGGAACTGAGGGGGTGACTGTTGGTTTAAATCAGTAACAGGCAACTGGCAATCAACCTTGAGACAAGGTATAAGGGACATTCATCCGTTTTGACCATGAATTTTATTAGAGATTTTTTGTGTTGCTTGTTTAGGTTGTTTTGTTTTGTTTTTTAGAAGCAGATGGGGGTTTTATGTTCAGCTCAAGCCCTCCAACAAAAAGGCTGAGCGTGAGCACCTATTTGCAGGCCAGAACTTGGGTATTAGCAGTCGTGGTTCTGCACAGAGTCATCCTCACCTCCTTGAACCATGAGTCTTGCCAAGTGTACTGAGAGGGGCTGGATGTTTATTTCACCCTTCCCGGGTAAGTCACTCCAAGTTTATAGGCAGTCTTCCTTCCCTGTAGCCACACTTGATGTCAGTCTGGTGTTTGCGGGGCGGGGCCTTTCCCACTGCCCTCATTGCAGGCCATTCTTGGATCCATCTCAGCCCAATTCTGGGAGAGCAGTGCAAGAAAACATTCTGGTGTCTTGTGAAACTTGTTCAGCTGGGAACTTGGCTACAAGGGTTGCTATGGTAACCTAAGCAGCTGCACTTGGGGGAACTGTGCTTCCTGTTGGAGTGTGGGAGGTGTTTATGTTTGCACATGAATGTGTGTAGCACAGAGGAAAGGAATGACATCACTACCAAGAAGGGGCTAGGCAATCCACGTAAGGCCCGGGGATTATCCCATAAGCCATTTCCCTCAGGTCCACTCAAGTGTTCCCCCAGAGTCAATTGCAATTGTAATTTCATGACAGCATGAAGTCAATCCTTTTCAAATTGTCTGCATTAGCTCTATGCTTGTGGAAATCTTCTCCTCAATGTGTGTTTTCTCCAAGTTTTATCGGGATATAGTTGCCTCATAATCTTTCAGTCCAATAAACCTGCAGGTATCCACAGACGGATGAATAGCATGTGTATTCTACTTGTAAATATTGTTAATGGCAGGTAACAGGGATGCTGTGACTGCTTATAATAATCGAGTTCATCTTTGAATGTTAATTCACTTGATCTCTTTGAAATTATATCTAGAATTTCTACAAAGCATATCATCAAACATGATTTACAGATTTTGGATCTCATGCAATGTACTCAGGGTTTGTAAGAATTTCTTCATTCTCAGTGCTTCTTTGTATAATTAAAGAGCACTGAGTAGTATTTCTTAATAAAATTTTAAACTCCCAAATGTAGAAAGTCTGAGTCATATGTAACTGAAAAAAATGTGGAAGAAATGTTAGATATTAGAGATGTTTAAAATTAGCGACAAAGTGAAACATTACACAGATCCCTCTTCTCTCAGGTATTAATAATAACAATAAATTTATTAGGTGATTATTATGTACCAGGCTCTAAGTGTTTTACATGTACTAACTCATTGAACCCTCACAATAACAACGTAAAGTAGATATATTATTATTGTTACTATCTCCATCTTAAAGAATAGGAAATTCAAACACAGAGAAAAATCGCCCAATTCACAAGACTAAGAAATGGTGAAACTGGGATTCATACCAGGTGGTCTGGCTCCACCACCCAGTCTGATGACCCTATATCTGAGTCCTCCCCAAACAAAGAGTCTGCCTGGGGTGAGGAAAGAAACAGAACCTCTGCTCGGAGCCTACCCCAATACTTTCCTCTATTGCCCCTCTCTAGCTATCTCTCCTCGTCACCCCTTCTACAGTTCATGTTTCATTTTGGGTAGAAAACAATTTCTTTTATCATCATGTACTCCTTCAAAAATTATTGGTTAGGGCATATACTTTGGGCTTCTGGTATTCAAGCACTCTAGAACTTTAAAAGTCTTATCTCTCAGAGTTACTGCATCTGCCGTGTGCGTCAAAAGTCTGTTTCAAAACTCAAAGCTAAGCACTGGCTCATTTCTATCTCCACATTTCAGTTCACTCCTGAGGAGATAAGCCCCCACCTCATGGTCTAATTTTAGTGGAGGAAAGACTGTAGATTAAAATGAATTAGCAAGAATGAAGATACTTCCATTAAAATTTCAAATATTATTCCTCTACATGTTGTATCTGAGAATAATGAAATTACTAATTGCGTTTGTGAGAAATATAGGAATAAGTAAATGGGATGTGTTAATATTTTAACTATTCAGATCTGCTGCAATGGCATATGTTATTTAAAGCAAAGCTAGATTTGTAAGCCCTCTGTGTCAGAGGGCTGTCTCTCAACATCCACTCTTCAATTCTTCCTTTCAGAACAGTCATCCCAAATTTTAGCCACAAAGCTAGACATAGCATTTCCCAGGCTCCCTTGAGCTAAGTATGGCCATTTGACCAAATTCTAGTTGAGAAATGATTTGTCTAACTAACTTCCAGATCACATTCTTAAAAAAGGAAGCTGCTTGCTCTTCACTCTTTCTTTCCCACTGTCCAAACGTCAGATGCCACAATCTCAGAAGCAAGTCAGTTTGACCATGCTGACAAAACCAACAGCTTGATGAGACAACAACAAAAGAACCTTAGGTCCATGGTTACCCTCATGTGGGAGAGCTGCCCTGGACCACCCACCAGCTAAAACAAAGACATCTGTAATTATAAAACTTGCTTATCCTTAATAATAGAGAATTAAAACATCTACTTTCTTTAAACCACTGTTATTTTTGGCCTCTCTTGGTAGCCAAGCCAATATCTTGCTTAATACACCATCCAAAATTGGAAAAGCATCTATTTCAAAGCATCTATTATACACATAGCCTTGTGCTGACCATCGAGGCACAATGAAAAAGATGTACAAATTCATATAATATGTTATCAAATGGAGGAAACTAGACCCACAGACATGCAGTCATATGAAAACACAATGCAGTAAACAATATGACAAAGGAAAGGCAATGACAAAAAGGCACAAGGGGTTTGGACAAGTCCATGGCCTGAAGGATAGGTAATGAAAAAAGACCTGAGAAAAAAGGTGGGACCTGACCTGAAGCTTCAGGGATTGGGTGGAGCCAGGCAAGGCAAAGAGGAGAGGGAAGGGGGACAATCAGACAAACAAAGCATAGTGGAGGTAGAGTCTGTGTAAGACTGTGGTCAACAAGCAGACTGGGGAGAATAAGCCAAAAGGAACATGGTGGGACACAATAGGATCCAGTTGGGCTGGACCTTGAATGTCTGCCTATGCAGTGAGGACACCATTCTCTAGGTGTTGGGATGGATTTTCCTCTCCTGGACGCTCCTGTTCCTATAGATGTTGACACCCCTGCAGCTTAACCAAGGTACCTTCCTGTAACTTCCTGGGAGTGAATCACAGAAGCCTTCTGTGGAACATGCCTTACCCACATCCCCTCACTTCTTATCATTTCCACTCATGTCAGCCCTTTTTCAATGGCTAGCCCTGATGTCTTTTTGTCTAAAGGCTTCTACTGGCCAGTAGAGCCAGCTATGCCACAAGAGTGCCCACAACTGGTGCCCTATTGCACCAATGGGAGGTGGTGGATAAATCTGGCAGCTCCATCATCTCTTGAGTGGAATAACTCTGAGGCATGTGTTCCACACTGGTATCCAGAGTTCCCCAGAGAGATTAAACCCCAGTTTCCCACAGTAGTAAGAGCCTGAAAAATGCACCTTGTGTTTGCCTACCTCCCTTCCACGCACCATTTCCCCACTCTCCTCTAGTGTTTCCCAGGATCATCTCCCAAGTAAACCCCCTGCATTAGAATCCTGATCTCAAGATCTGTTGCTGGGAGAACCAAGACTCTTACAACACCCTCAACTTTCAGAATTCCCTATGCGGACTTTATTTACATACCACAGAGGCCGAGACAATGTGAGACTAACAGGATAATACTGAGACTTTGAAGGTCTCAAAAACGCAATGCAGAGAGCCAGTGAAATAAACTGTTTGGGCTCAGATTACACCCGTGTCACCAACTCACCAACACCTCCTTTGTCTCCAGGTAGATGATGGTTTGTCAGCGAGACTGGCCTACCTCAAAAAAAGCAATCTTCAAATTAATGTTTAATTGCTCCTTCTTCCTGAATCAGGTAACCTCCCCATGGTTGTGAGGAAGCCTCATCCTCTTTGATTGGCATCTTCTCACAGAGGAATCTCTGTGGGGGCAGAGACCAAAGGCCATGGAGATTTGGCCTTTCAGCACTCCCTGTCCAGAGTCTCAGCCCTACACAAGTAATGAGGAGTCCTGGAGGTCCCTCAGGAAAGAAGTGTCATGACACGGCTGCCTATTTCTTCAGCAGACTCAAACCATCACACTCCCTTCAATGAGTACTTGGACTTAGGAGTAGAAGGAGTCATTTAGATGTGAGCAAAGTATCAATACAGGCTTCGTATTGGCTAAATAAAACAGAGAAATGGGATGCACCCTTGAGGGGAGTGGGTATAGCCCCC